AGGGGTTACCTTGCTGCACCCCAGTGGAAGACCATATATGTTGGTCTCCGATATAAAGTCTCAGTGCTTGCTCGTACAAGAAATTCACCCACAAAGAAATAGAATGGAACATCCTCTTAACCTCGTGGAGCAATGCTGATCTATCCACCAGATTAAAGGCATTCGAGAAATCCACTGTCAGCATTACAAGAGACCCATCAGCATGGTGTTCACTCAACACCCTATTAGCACTGTGTAACATGGCCTCAGCACCCCCGTACACACCAACCCCGAACTGAAAATCATTAAGGTACTTGTCCATTTCTTTACCCACACCTTTCACGACAACCTTGGAAACCAGACGTCTCCATATAGTGCCTATTGCAATTGGATGGATCCCGTTGTCAGGTTTAAGCAGAGGCGTGAGAGGAGCGGATGCAACAAACTCTGCCAAGATGGTCGGACATCTTCCCGCTAACCATAAATTAACCATTGAAATGATAGCATGAATGGTATATGTGGCTATAGTAGACCCTTCTCCACAAAGGGCATCCAGTAAGTGTTGAGCCCTCAAGCCATCTCTCCCGTAAGAAGTTCCTTTAGGTAATGATTTGATGCAACCAAATACACAGTCAAAGTCTACTACAAGCGGAGTTTCAAAAATTATGGGGCTCAGCATGGATGGGGGTGGCCTAAAAGGGTGTTTGTCCTCCAAAGCTTTAATAGTATCACCATTATATGACGCAACACCTGATGAGCATAACACTTTCACAATTGCAGTAAAATGTTCATCTGCAACCTTACGGAGACACTGCCTGATGGATGCCTCCACCTTGTCCCATGGAACCAACCTCGGGATCGTCTAACATATTTTGAACTAACTTTCTGATACCATCCTCTTTCCCCCATGTATCCAATGACTTCAGGATGGAGCTTTGTTGTAAGGATTTTCTATTCTCAAACATACATTCTTGTCTATTTTTGGGCCTAAACATCTGCAGTGTGCCGCGAGGAAGAAGTAACAAACAAATTCATGCATCAACCAAGCCAGGTTGGCCAATCACCTTGTAAAGAGCAGTTTTTAAAGCATGAGAGAAAGCAAGGCGACAACTATGGTATTTTTTGCACTAAAAAAACATTGGTATGTTTTGAACATTTAATAACCGGGTAACCGAATAGATAGGTACAGCCGGTTCAATCGTATTTTGTGTACTAAAAAAACAACAATTGTCATTTTTGTACATTTCCAAAACTTCATTACCTTTTTAAGTTATTTTCCATTGCCTTTTAAAGTTATTTTCCCTTGATAAAAAGAGTAAACTGCAACCCAAACAAAGATGAGCAATTGCAAACCCAAAATTTAAATGGCACAAAACACAGCAATTCAAATATTGAACAACACACACACAAGCCCACAAAGTTTTCATTACAATTTACAAACAACACACACAAGTGCACAACACAAAGCCTTAAACACAATGAAATTGATGCTTCACTACAAACACACAACGCCTTGCATCTCCATTTTGATGTTCATCTTCATTCTTCCAACCTCACTCTTTGTTTTGAATTTAGTTATCATAAAAATAATAATAAAATTAATTTTAGAAAAAAGAAAGAAAGAAAGAAAATCTATTCTTTTTAAATCCACATGGACACGCAGGTGGGTCAGAATGATTATCCATTAAAATGGTCATTTTGGATTTCAATTGACATATAATGTGTACTTTCTCTTTCTCATGTGCACTAAACACTTATTAAAACAATATATCCCTAAATTTGAAATGTCAAAAACACAATACTTGCAAGTTTAAGGTAACTCAAAAGATACTAAACTGATGCAAAATACAAATTCTAACACTCTTGGAAGACATAAACAAGATCAAATTCAGATTCAAACAACGGGTTAACTAAAAAGTAAAAAATGTTAGTTGTTTACACTACATGATACAAGTATCTAAACACCTGATTTTTGTAAAAACTACATCTCAAACTAGTCAATAGGAACCTCAACTTCCATCTTCAAACCCGAGTTTCCAAGAATCTGCAATTACCAATTATGAAATTTTTATTATCAAGTATCAAACAAACAATCCATTTTTAATAAAAATGATTACCACAAGTACAATCCATTAAATGCACATGGAAAGCTTAAACATTATTATGCTTACTAAATGCAATTTATAAATATTAATACAAAGTCAAGTGTGATTGAGGAGTAGAGGGAGTAAAAAGTTGTAATTTTTCATTAGATAAGAGAAGATAGAAAATAGAAATTTATAATTACCTTCATGAAGTCGGATTGAACTAATAAAGAATCTTTTTTATACCCTGCTTCCTCAAGAACATGTGTCAGGACAATCTGTAGAAACAGAAATGACATAAAGATTAAATTAAATAAAGTAATAGTATAAAAATATGTACACAACAAGTCAACAATAGTAAATCATTTGCAAAGTATATTATGTATCAAATGTGTAGAGAATATGGTTGTACTTTGTTGATTATTAATTACTATACTTTGTAAATGGTTAAATCCTGTTTTAGAAAACCAAAATATTGATCAGATGACTCAAGAAAATCAAATTGTTTTTTTTACCAAATGAGTTAAGAGAGACAAATCAGACAGTATGTTGTTATTTAATGATCTTATCAAACATTCAATTAAGTTTTGAAATATAATTCGACCTTTAAAGTATTGATTTTTGCCTTTTTAGTCTTTATCCACCTCTAGCTCTAAACCACTTTCAGTCATTGATTTGAATCCAAATGAAGATTTGCAAAGGCATCAAGGAACAAAAACAAATATTAAATTGACAGTTTTGGGATTTTCTGTTAAACTAAGTAGTCAGAGATATGTGACAGATTCTGGAAAAGAACAAGAACAAGAAAACAAGGTTGTGCTCTTTTCCTCAATTAACCCTTTTCTCTATATGGCATTCTTATCATAACTATGATCTTTTCATTATGATTCTTTTTGTATGATAATGATTATGATATGATCTTAAAATGTTTATGCATTTTAAACTTACCTCCCTTTGTTGTTCAGAAATGAATTGTCCTGTCAAGTCTCGTAGAACATCTAATAAATCAGAGAATGCAACCTTCCCATTGCCATCAGAATCATAAACCTTGAATATGACTGCAAAAAAGAGAGCAAAATCCATTTTCAAAGAGAAAAAGAGAATGATTATACATTTGTTAATTGATAAAAGGGGAGGCAATTACATTCTACTTTATGTTGTAAGGTCGCACGAGAACTAAATGCAGATAAAAATAACACAAACTCCTTGAAATTCAATCCATCAATCATCCTGAATAGTCGCTGAGAGAAGAAGAATATGAGTTAAGAGTCATTGATAAACTAAAACGATGATGAGTTACATGACAATTATGAAAAAAATGTAGCATAGAACTAACAATTGCATAGTAAGAAAAACCTGAGAGAGGGGATTGACAGCGAATTCCGGCACCGAAAGGAATTCGTCAGCTGAGATGAACCCACCACTGTTACGATCCAACTGACAGAACCTTTGGTACAAGGAAACTATCTCTTGTTGCGAAACTACAATCAATTAAACAAAAAATAATCCAATTTAGACGATATCAGAAGAACGTAGTTCCAGATTCTCAACTCCGTGATCGCTTACATGTGTTGTTGCAATGTTCCTGGACTTCTTCGATGTCGTATTGAGTGAGCATTGACGATGTGTTCCCCATGACTTCGAAGAGTTTTTGTACTGAATTTGAGAATAGGGTAGAACCCTAGGTTATTTATTGTGGGTATTGAAATGCGTGAGATTTGGGGGAAAGAGAAGGGAGAGATTTGGTGACCAGCACAACAACAATCAAGAAACAGGTAGGCTGTGATCTTGAAAGTGGATTTGGGAAAGTTTTGACCTTTTGAGTTTGACCAATTGCTTTTTTACCTTTTGTTTGGATGCACGAGCATAGATATATGTTCCTCCTTTTTCTAATTTTTCTAATATTTCTTTTTTGAGAAATTAAATATCCTTCTACCATTTGTTTTTACTTTTCATTGTACCGTATCAAATGTTAATATATATTATTTTTAATTACATATTTAATAAAATTAATAATCATTTAATCCATTTGTCAACATTTAATAAGGTAGGAGGAAAACTAGCAAGAGGATATTTAATTTCTCTTTTTTTTAGATTAAGAAAAGATTATACAGCTCTAACGCCTTGTTCCCTAGTTTTTTTTGTAAATTCATTAAAGGAAAGGAAAAGAAAATTTTGACCGAAAGAAAGGGAGCGGAAGGAAAATATTCATTATATCGTGTTCCCGAGTTCGAAGGATATGAAAAGAAATGAGATGAAAATTTTAAGTTTTTGTGTTCCCGAGTTAAGAGGAAAAAGAAAATAAAACTTGAAATTTTTCTTCCCCTCACTTTCTTCCCAAATCCGCCCAATTTGGAAGGAAAATTTGGAAGGAAAATATGACTCCAAAATCCTTCCCCTCCCTTTATTTTCCTTCCATTAATAAAACTCGGGAACACAATTTTCCTTCGACACCCCTCATTTTCCCTCCGTATCCTCCCATTTCCCTCCTTAAGTAAAACTCGGGAACAAGGCGTAAAGTACAAAGAGAGAGAGAGAGAGAGAGAGATGTTTTTATGTAGAGCTCAGCAAGAAGACGAGGCTTGTTTGGCTTAGGTGGAAATCAATGGTGAAACTGTAAGCTTGACACCTCCGGCAAAGAGAATGAGGCTTGTTTGGCTAAGGTGGAACTCAGTGGTGAAACTGAGCTCAACACTTAGTTTTGTTGTGTTTGCCTTAATCTTTTTGAAATGATCGTTTTGACGATTTGTACATTCAAATCGTCCAAATGATCATCCCACTTAATGTAACGTCCCAAATATCACGACTAAAATTTTCTTTTTAAAACATTACTAAAACCATATTTATAAAAACCGTATCATAAGTCATAACATAATTTCATAGCATTAATTCGAAATACAAACTTATTATCAAAGTAAAACATCCCAGGCTAGCTGACTATGGTGTGGGCACTGCAATCTTTCCGAGCTCCTCTTTTGAAAACTGAGTACCTGAAACCAAAAACTAAAACTGTAAGCACGAAACTTAGTGAGCTCCCCCAACTACCACACACCATACAATAACATATAAAGCACATAATGGGCCTTGCCCACTGCATCGGACCGAAGTCCCGACTAACTGGGGCCTTGCCCCCTGCATAGGACCGAAGTCCGGAAACTGACTGGGACCTTGTCCCCTGCATCGGACCGAAGTCCGGACTAACTGGGGCCTTGCCCCCTGCATCGGACCGAAGTCCGGAAACTGACTGGGACCTTGTCCCCTGCATCGGACCGAAGTCCGGACTAACTGGGGCCTTGCCCCCTGCATCGGACCGAAGTTCGGAAACTGACTAAACATAGCATAGCATAACATATCAACTAGCATGAACACATATACTGCATACTGCATCGGGCCGTAGCCCGGAACACATAACACATAACACATAACACATAAATCCTGTCTGAGCCGCGAAGGCATCAAACATACTAACTACTGCATCGAACCGAAGTCCGAAAACTACTGCTAACTGAACGGGCTGACATTGTGGCCTTAGACCCGTTCCTACTGGAAGGAAACTCACCTGAACTGCTGAATTCTGCTGGTAACCCTCGGACTGCTAACCAACCACCGTCTAAAACGCTGCTCCTCTAACTCTCCGAGCTACCAATAACAAAGCGACACTTAGCCTGACAGTCCTCTAAAAGTCAACTAACTCAACTCCGATCAAAGTCAAAGTCCTGGCCAAAGTCAACCTTCCATGTTGACCCTACTCGCCGAGTCAGTCTACTGACTCGCCGAGTTCACTGATTTCTGAGTTCTGTCCTGTCCAACTCACTGAGTCCCCACTCAACTCACTAATCTGAGCCTTGACTCGAAGGGTTTGGGGTTTCGCAACTTGACTCGCCGAGTCCAAGAACAGACTCGTCGAGTCCAAGGCAATCTTCATCAGACTCGCCGAGTTGTTCATCTAACTCGTCGAGTACGCCTCCATCTTCATACTACTCGCCGAGTCCACTCAAAGGACTCGCCGAGTCTATTCAGTCGTTAAACCATGCAGTGGCTTTTCGAGCCAAACAGGGCTTCCAACTCATAGATCCATACTTCTAAGGCCTATCCCTCACGTAAAGTGGCAAACTTTACGTGTAGATAAAGAGATCTAGGCTTAAAACAATCCAAACTAGGGTTTAAGACAAAGAGGCTTCACTATCAACCCAAGAACAGATGCTTTATGACTTTCTAGGCCAAGATACACTCAGATCTGAAGTAGCAACTTCAGATTTGGGCTTCTAACTCGAAATAGTTCTTAAGCATGGCATAAAAGCCCCAAATCTCATAGCCAAGGTTGATCTATTAAACAAAAGAGGGAAGGTCACGATTTATTACCTTTAAATGCTCAGAAATGTTCCACCAACTTTGGATCCGAGGCCCCCTTCTTGCTCCACTATGACTATCTTCTCTCTCAAGCTCCAAAAAGCTTCACCAAGGGTAGATCTCGCTCCAAAACGATTATGGCGACTAGGGTTTAGTGTTATGTGTTAGAGAGGCAGTAAAGGAACCCTAGGGGAGAGAGTGAGACTTTTAAATAGGCTCCAAATCCCGGATTTAGGGTTTTCCTCGCTCAAACCAGACTCGCCGAGTCACCTTGGCCGACTTGCCGAGTCGGTCGCTTACTCCTCGATCCGGATCCCGCTCGGACTCGCCGAGTCCCTCCTTGGACTCGCCGAGTCTCCCCTTAAAATTGGGATTTTCTTTCTTTTCTTGGTTTTCCAAACTTTGGGTGTTACACTTAAGCCATCCATAATATGTAGTTTAATGTGAAAGTTAAATGAGATGAAATGTCTAATTGATATTTAATAGATTATCATTGTGAAATGACATACTTACATTCAATGTTTATTTAACTCTTCAATGGGTAAAAGAGGAACGTTTTAATTATTAAATATATGTTTCATTGAATTTTATAAAGTTTAGTGCATTATAAAAAAAATATGATAGAATTGAATGGAGACTAGAATGATTCTTCAAAAATTCATTAAACTCTAACAAGTTCAATGCACTGTAAATGCCCTTAGAGCATAGAGCACTTTTTGTTTAATTCATTCTTTTTTCATATTGTGGATAAGTGTAAATTTGTCACCGATCCATCACCCTACATAACTTTAACAAATTAAATTCCCTTAGGCAAACCTTTCCGAAGTAATTGTTGTCTATGATTGTTTGTGAAATCTAAAGGGAATGGTTAGCAACTTTCTCTTCATAAAATTGCATTCCACCAACTTGTTAAAAGATTGAAGATTGATATTGGTTATGGTTTGAAACATTTCTCTTCATAAAATTGCATGCCACCCACATGTTTAAAGATTGAAGATTGATATTGGTTATGGTTCGAAACATGAAATTTAGGTTTACAATCAATGTTTTGAAATTTGCTCTAATAAAACATTTGATTTTCTTCCAAGTTCACTTATGGTACCATGGATGAGATGGAATTGTTACCCAAATGACACATAATGAGATCTAAAAATTAACAATCTTAAGATAAATTGCATATGGTTTCAGAAAACTTGTTGGGCGTAGAACCTATTATGCTAGGCACTTTCACACCACACACCACAAAGCATGCCTCATTTGGTCTGTGGAATGAATAGTGAACAAGCAACAAAAGTGTGTTATTCACCATTTTCTGCAACCGTATTCTCCATTCCAGTTTTTTTCAAATTCACCTGTTTCAATAAGATTTTTAAGATTTTCATTTCACGTTTCATATAAATTAATAGTGCCCACTAAATTCTGATTTTTTCTTGATAATATTTTCAGTAAAAAGACAGTAATAATTTTTGGAGCCTTAGAGACGGTATTTTACAAAATAGCCACTTATTTGTTTCTTTTCCACAAATAACCACCAATTTCACAATAGGCCCACGGAGAAACCATTATTTGGTGCAAATTTTGGTTTTTATATGATTCGCACCAAAAAAATATAGGGTTAATCTCATAAAAAACATTATATATTGTATTTTTTTCGGATTAAAACTCGTCTTAAATTTTTTCCTGAAAAAGACATTGCATTTTCATTTTTTTCGATTCAACCCTTTTAGCAGTTTTTTTCGAAAAAAACTTGTAAATGTGAGGGTGTTTTGTATAAAAATATAAAAGTTGAGGGTTTTCTGAAAAAAATGAGAGTTTTTTCGGACAAAAAATAAAAAAGTTGATGTTAAATCCAGAAGAAAAAAAAAAAAAAAAAACCTAGTAAATGCAATGTGTTTTTCAAGAAAAAGAATAAAGTTGAAGTTAAATCCACAAAAAATACAATATGTAAAGTCTTTTATGAAATTTACCCCAAAAATATATAAAGAAACTAAAAATATATGTTGCAAAATTTTCTTCTTATACTTGCTAAATTTTTCTTCACAAAATTGTTCATATTATTGAGATGACAAAAAAAAAAGTGAAATCTTTTTTTGCAATGATTTTCAAAAACCAGAAAATATATCCTTGTGGTGCAAAAATTGAATGTTAGGTTGAAAGAGATTTTTGAAATAAAATTTGGCATAAAAATAAGAAAAAGAAATAAAAACAATAAATAGAGGTTGATTGCCAAATTGGTGGTTATTTCTAGCAAAGACAAAAAAAAAAAAAAAAAAAAAAAAAAAAAAAAAAAAAAAAAAAGAAAGATAGGCTATTTTGTAAAATACGTTCTAATAATGTATTAAGCCATACCTTCATTAAGACATTTTGAATGAACTCCTTCACATCCCACATAAGTTGTTCAGATTCAGGCAACTCCGGAAACACATAAAAAGCATGGAACATATTTGTGTACTCAACCAAGTACACGTCTACCCCCGACTTCTTCAGCCACTCGCAATACCTTTTTTGCCAATCATATAGAAAATCAAAGCCAGCAACCACCACCATTGTCGCTGGAAAATCTAGTTTCGATATGTCCACCGCCATTGGGCCGCTAACATTGATGATCGGGTGGTCACGATTGTAACTTTCACCTGGCGGCATGATCACATTCCAGTACCAGTCTGTTTGCTTCAGTGACGCGAGGGGAGCTTTTCCGTCAAAAAAAATTTCAGAATTGGTTCGCTCTTCTCCTCCAAAAAAAGGTTGAATTGCTAACACGCCATTTACCTTTGAATGTTTAATTTTAGAACTTGTAATCGCTAAGAAAAACTAGTTTTATATTCATATTGACTATAAGTAATGAGGAAACTAAAATGTTAATGGAGTGATATCATGAAGAAGCATTTCAGCCAATACCTTCTGTGGGTTCAAAACATTTCCTTTTTCTCTATAAATAGTCACCAATATACTTATATTCTTTTATAATTAAAAATTTTAAAAAAATTATAAACATTTGATTTATACTGAAATAAGGTAAATGTGCTATATTCATTATAAATTTAATAATAAAAAAATTGATTAAAATACGAACATTTTTAATAAAATACTTGAGATTATTAGGTTTCTAATAAAATAACCAAATTTGTAAATGGTTGGGTTGTAATGCGGAAAATTGATAATATTTTTTAATAAAATGTTGGTTTTGTTTAGGTCACTAAGATTCTTCATTCACAATTCAACACAAACTAATATCTTATTAAAGACCAATCCAACACAAACTAATCTTCATTCTCTGATACCATCTTCATCCACAATCCAACACAAATTAATTTATCTATTCATCGTCCAAACATGTTTGACAAAACCAACCAATAGATGGTAGCTGTAATTTTTATTTGTACAAAAGTGTTTGACAAAAGTAGTTGTTAACTTTTAAATGTGTAAAATTACAAAAAAATCAAAAGCTAAAAGCTCCCAAAAGCTACGTGAAGTAGCTTTTGGATTATAAATTTTTCGTTTAAAATAAAAACGGAAAGCTCCTACTCCTAAACTACATCTTTTTTTTTCGAGCTTTTTTTTTTTTTTTTTTTTAACTTTCAAAACTTTGTATCAAACATACCCATACTCCAACCAATTCAATAAAACTTATCTTCATTCACTAAGGGGCTGTTTGTTTACCACTTAATACCTCTTAAAAAGAAGCATGTTTGAATCTGTCCAATTAAATGTGTTTGTTTATCTCTTATTTTTGCATCTTAATCTAAAAATAACGTCTTATTCGGTCAGACTCTAGGCCACATCTGAAAGAAAAAAAAAAGATGTGTTTCCCTTTATGTCCCAACCCTACCATACCGCCTATGTTCATTCTCTTTTCGCTACCAAAGAATTCCTCCCTCTTCTTTCCTCTGCCCTCTTCGACGTCTCCATGCCAACCCTCTCAGTTGAACTCGTCGTACACCGCCGGCACGAGACCTCCGACGCCACCGTCCTAGACCCCCGGTCCAACAGCAAGGCCATGAAATCGATTTTCTTAAATTGAGTTCATGAAATCGATTTCCCCAACAACCACCACCGGTCACCGCCTTCCTCCGGTCTTTCTCTGTTGGTGTGTTTTTAATTCTCTAATCTTGAAATCGATTTTCTCACAATTGAGTTTTGAAATTGATTTTCTCATAATCGAGTTATTGAATTCGAAATTGAAACCTGAAAATTGTTTGAAATCGAGATTTTGAAGAATCTATGCAGAAAATTATGTCTAAAAATCGAGTTTTGAAATTCATTCCCAGTTTTATGTTTTTCTGCATATTTTTTCTTTTCATAGATATTAATTATGTTTTTCATATAGGAAATTAATGAACAGTAGATGTAATTAGGTATAATTATTTTGATTCATACTTTATTGGTCCTTCCTTCCTCATGTTTCTATTGATTTGTGGTGTAGCTCATGGTTTGTGGTGTAACTCATGGTTAGGTGATGAAGAATATACATGAGAGGACTGGTTCTTAAGAAAATTTTTATACAAGTTCAACTGATTCTTCAGATAGATTATTTATAGAAAATGTGTTCCTAATTGCTAATATAAGTTGCTGATTTTTCATTTGCTGAAGTCTGTTGCTGATCTTGTTATTATATGTTGATATGTTCAAATTTATTGTTGACAGTGTTATGTTTGATTTGGATTAATATTAATTTTCAATTATGTTTAATCTGGATTTTATATAGTGTATATATATTATAAAAAAAAATAATAATAAAAAAAAAAGTTGATTTGGTTATTTTATAGAAAAATCATTAAATTAAGCGAAAAATAAAATAGAAGGGTAAAGTAGTCATCTTTATAATTCAGCACTATAATTCAGAGGTTCCAACCAAACAACATTTAAAAATTTAGATCTTAAAAATTGAGACCCTCTTAGAAATTCAGATCTTTTAGAAATCCAGCTCGTAAAAGTTCAGATCCTGCCAAACAACCCCCAAGACTATTTTCTTCCTTTTTTCTTTTAAGTGTATAACTTTTAGTAAATCTTAATGTATCATTTTAGTGTTAATTACATATTTGTTAATGAAAAAATCCGAAACCGAAACAAAAAAAAAAAATTGAAATATACTGAAACTGAACCAAAAAAGAGGCACACAAAGACCATGAGACGGGTCCCAAAAGGACCGGACCGGATAAATACCGGTCTCAGGTCCAAAAAAAGACGTTACCATTTAGAGACAGACTCGAAACCGGTCCGGGACTGTCGATATACATCTCTATGTTGCACCACCAAGGCCCCCCGCTAATAGCTAAGAAACTTTCCCCTTTTTTCTTTTTAATTATATTGCTTTTTTTTTTTTTTTGTGGAATGGGATTGGTGCACAAAAAACTAACCTTTATTGAAACATGTTTTAAGATCCAATCCTATAACTATCCGATTTTACCATTAGAACTCGTTTAAGTGAAACCAATTCGAAAAATCAGATTAGAAAACGTTTTCAAACCTATAAATAACTTATATCCATATACTAAAAAGATGTTTTCATCCATTAAGGGAGGAGAGAGTCATTACCTCCCAACCCACTCCACATCAGGGTTTTTTTTTTTTTTTTTTTTTTTTTTTTTTTTTTTTTTTTTCCAACCAACAACACACAAAAACTCTATCTTTTTCAACCCACTCAACCTATTCAATTAAAAAAAATCAAGATAAAATCTTAATTAGCAATAGAGTTACCGTCGGTAACACTCCCTTTTCAGCGAGTTGTTTAATTGGTTTCACAAACCCACTTCATCATCATCTCTCTCTCTCTCTCTCTCTTTACTTTCTCTCTCATTTTTTCTTGTACCATATGTTTTAAAACTTGTACTTTAGTTGTTTTGTATTTTTTTTTTTAATTGAATGAGTTGAAAAAGAAAGAATTTTCATGTGATGTGGGTTGGGAAAGATAAAGAAAAAAAATAAACAAAAATTGTTGTGACAGTAGGTTTAGTGGGTTGGGAAGGAATAACTCTCTTCTCCCTAATATGAGGTTTTCAAGGTTTCCCATGACTAGTTTCACCATTACGTATTCCAAAAATTAAAATTTGAAAATACAATTTTGAAAGCATAAATGCTTTTGAATGCTGGAAAGCACCTTACATCATCGCAAACCCATGTCTTATGGTTATTGGTTTGTTGAATACAAACACCCAAACAAAAAACTGAAAAATGGCAAAAAGATAAATTTTTTTAAACCAATTGAACCAATCCTAATCGGTTCACATGTACTAGGATATTTGTGCTTGGCCAATTTGGATCCAATCCAATTTGGACTCCATGCGGTTTTGACTTTGTTGATCAAAACCGATCTAGATTTGAAAAAATCAAGTTTTTAGATCTCTACCCTTACATATCAAACTTTCAGATTGACAACTAATCAGAGCCGGTCCAAACATATATGGGATCCGGGGCAAAAAGAAAAAAATGACCCCTCAATGACAAATATAATAAAGATTTTAAAAAAATATATCATTTACTCTTTAATATAGACGTGTTCAATTAGCACTAACAAGCAAACTAAGTTGTTTATCTTATGAGCTAATTTGAGTTTTGACCAACTTTAGGCCCTAAAAATCATTTAGATGATAATTTTTCTATATATATATATATATATATATATATATATATAAATTACATAGCGCATAAATTTTGGGCACCTGGAATTGTGGGTCCTGAACGGTCGTCCGGATTGCCAACTGTCTGGACGGGCCTGCAACTAATCCCTCACCAAAAGATACTTTTTAAGCCCAATCGGGGTTCATCTCTACTATCAACCCATTTGGTATTTATAGCCGACCCAAGAGGGGAACTTGGGTTTTAGGCATTGATAAATATTGTGGTCCACTAGAGACCATTTAATATTTGTTTTGTGTTGTTAATGTCATTTAGGTTTTCTAATTGGGCTATATCACTATACGATAGTTGCATTAAATTGACACCAAAATTCATAAATGGCAAATGATTTTGGAAAAGATAATGTTAAGTTCCATAGTGTGTAATTTTTGTGGCTGAAAAAAATTGCGACTGGGATAAACAGATAAGTATCTGATTTCCCAATGCAAAAAATATTAATCATGTTTAATAGTTTGAAGTACGTATAACTAATTGGAGAAAATTAAATAAATGGAAATCTGGTTACGCAAAGGATTGATGTACCTTAAGTCGTTGGAAGTTGAATTCGCATGCTCTCTGAGCAACGTGATGAACTAGGTTTCCGCCAGCACTATCTCCAGCGACAAAGCACCGTGAAATGTTCGTTTTCTCCGGTAACGACTTCGAACAATTCTCCTCATCATCCAAAAATTTCAGCACATCGAAGCAATCATCATGCTGCTCAGGGTACCGGTGCTCCGGTGCAAGACGATAGCTGACAGAAACAATGATTGCAGGCAGTTTTCTAGACAACCGGCGGCAAAAAACGTCGTAAATGTCCTGGTCGGGGGCGAGGAAGACGAATCCACCGCCGTGAAAGAAGATGATCACCGGGAGATCTTCTATGGACTGCTGTGTGGGGACAAATACTCGGAACCAGAGCTTGCGAGTGGAATCTACTACGATGTCGTATGTCTTGACACCGTTGATCGGTTTGGACGACGCCGGGGTCCGGAAGTCTATGAATTTGAGGATACGGCGGTTCACGGTGCCATCTCTCCGGCTAACTGCTGCAAGTGCTCTAGAGACTACCGAAAACAGAATCCGTCGTCTCCAGGACAAGGTGAATGATGCCGAAGTTTTGGCGGCAGCTTCCATCGAAAGATGGGACAGAAATAAGATTAGCTGATTTTTATGATCGCATAGTTCTTTTTAAAATTTAGACAAAATTACATAAATGGGCCCTCTAGTATCTTGAAGTAAACACATATAGTACAGCTTCAAGAAAATGGATATATGATTTTTTGATATTACATAAAAGATCCCTCTATCATATGGCATCAATAAATTGTCGTTAAAGTCCCTTATGTGCATTGCATATGAGGGTACAATTGAACATTAACTAGGGAAGAACCCCGTTTTGTGGGGTTGTGTGTCTCTTAAATCAATAGAATGATGTATTTTGAATCTTTATCACAGATAACAGGTTCTATTGGTTAGTATGACTCAACAACATCATTTCACATTTTCTAAAATGTTATTATAGCATTGTACTTTGTTTGATGACATCGGAAAATAAATACAACATATATACCGGGTAGTTAATCAACAATTAACTATTTAACAACGCTAGTGTAACAACGTGAATTTTTAAAACAATTTTTCATTTTTCAAACAACATAAACCATCATTTAATATTCTGAAATCACACGTATAACAATGTCATCGTAACAAAATACATCCCAAAATCATAAAACAATTCTTCCGTCAGTGTGTACAGATCACGCTGGCGCCTTCCTACGGTCCTTGCTAGCACCTGAGACACATAACACAACAACTATAAGCATAAATGCTTAGTGAGTTCCCCAAAATACTACTTACGCACATACGCCCTTCCGGGCCCTGATCTTCTTGTCCATGTGTCTCAAGGGACTTCCGTCCCGACTCGGTAAACCTTCTGGTCCTACCTGCGTCAACCTTACGGCCCACATCACAACGCCTTCCGGCTCATAACATATATGCCTTCCGGCCCATAACATAATGCCTTCCGGCCCATATTAAGCATAACATACGTAGCACATACAACAGTTAACTTATCATATACAATGCATACAACTCATAACATATCCGACCTTCCGGTCACACAATAAAACCCTTCAGGGTACAGTATAGTGAGAAAACTCACCTCGTGGAAAGTCTAGAATCTCGCGTGCTCGCTATCTCCGAATCCCAACCCCGCCTAATCATAACGAAATATCATTTTAATTAATATAGACTTCCATAACTAGACTTTACCCTTATTAACATTCCTCAGAGGGGTAAAAGACCATTTTACCCTTCCTTGATTCAAAGTCCACATGTTGACCAAAACCCTAAAAGTCAACAAAAGTCAACATCTTTCAGTACGCAGGGGGTACAGTCTTATGTACGCGGGGCGTACAGTCTTATGTACGTGGGGCGTACATCGCCAACCCACAATCGGGGTCTCCACCCAGTACGCTGCGCGTACTGGGAGTTACGCCCAATGTAACATCCAGATCCAGCCACTCCTCATTTCTAGTCTTAATTGGTTAAGTTACTTCTTCAACTTCTAGATCCGGCTTTCTTTAGGCCTCCTTACCCATAAAGTCGAAACCTTTAAGCCTTGGCATGGCTGTAAAGGCTCCTACACTCCTTAACACCTTTCCATTTCAACTCAAAAGATCTAGATCTCATGCATGGCTAATCATTCACGTCCAAGATTACATTTTTATGAATCTACAACTCAAATGGACCAGAAATATGATGGATCTAAGCTAATGGAGACTACTTGCTCATAAAGTCTCCACCTTTGGGACCAAAACCCTAGAAAATGGTCCATAAAGCATACCACAAGAACTACAAGTCAAGATCCGAACTTTTTACCTTAGAAAGAAGCTCCAACCTTTGCTATCCACGGATCTACACTTGAACACCAACTTCTAGCCTCCACAATGGACTCCTATTCTCTTTTGCTACCTTGAAATGACACCACCAAGCTTAGAACACTCACAAACAAGCTATGAACGAAGGAACAACTCTCTTAGGGTTTCTTTCTGAAGGATGGTGGCTGAGGAACCAAGCCATCTCATTCCTTTTATAGCCAACCACAAAATCAGGGTTTTTGGGTTTGGACCGGTTACGCCCAGCGTAACCTTGGGTACATCCAGCGTACGCGGGTGACGGTGCATATAAATGAGGCGCGTGAGTACGTGTAGCGTACTCCTTGTACGCCCAGCGTACTCGCCCAACACAAAAGCCCTTAAATGACAACATATATAAAGATGAAGGGCTAATTAAAGGTACCTGGATTTCGAGCTGTTACAGCTAGCTTAAAAGAATACAATAATCAAAATGAGACTTTATTCCACCTTTATCTTATTTCATAACAATTCAAGTCATAGAAGGTTATTTCCGTTTTCAATGGAATTTTCCATTTTTGACCTTGTGATGAGCATAAGATTTTCCCTCAACCACTCACTTTTCAATCTTTCCAATTGCCATCATAAAGTATGAGATTTGATCATATGTATTTACCCATGCCATAGTGACGTTTACCCGTGACATGCTCAAAGTAAACATATCCATGTAATTTTTATTTCCTAATTCAGCCTGAGACCCATCAGGAGTATAACATGTCAAGCATATATCATATGGTTAAAAGATATTCAACTTAATATCAAATCATGAGATGGTTATCACTATGAAGGTATACCAAAATCTAATTAAAACTAAGATATGATTTGATCTGGATCTAAAGAACTCAACTTTCAACAGTAAACATAATGTGTATGAGGGTGATACCAGTTAAAAGGCCTTTCAGTCAAAGGGACACAACGATTTCAAAAGGAAATACAAAATATTTCAAACCCCCAAAAAAATATTTAATTAAAAATAATCTGTAAAGACAGAAACTAAAACAGATAACCTAACTATTATGCTCATTACCAAACCATCAATTATGTAAGTTCCAAAAAAAATACACAATAACAATGTAAATTATTATAAGAAGTAGTCAATCTCTTTATTAAAAAGAAGAAATTGTGACATACTTTTTATAAACAAAAAGAAAACCACAAATTTTGCTACCCATAAAATAGCAACGTACAAATGGAAGAAAAAAAAAGTAGATCACATTTAAAATTTCGAGATATGTCACAAAACAAAAGGGGATCAAGATGACTACGTACTTTTAGGAATGCAAGAAAGGGTTATATGTCTATTAAATAATGAAATAAAAAAGATGATCTTTTTTATCAAGAACAACATATATTTCTATTTCCTGCAATTTATCCTTTTCAAATACTATGATATTCCATCCGACTAAAATTGTAATTAACTTGCCTTGAAATTGTCCCCGTTTTCAAGTCCCTTTGGATTCATATGATGAACAGCCCCATAAACGGAAAGCATAGAAAGACCGAATAAAATATGTGGACATCAGATGGTAATAAGACACAATATTATTTCTGTTTAAATGAAACTCTCTTATCAGTCATACTCTCAACTACGATATTGTTACTCTTAGCATCAAGCTGTAAGTGGTAAAAGTTGTCTCATTGCTTATCAGCCAGTTAAAATTTCTAGTCCTGTTTCAAACTGAATCTCAATTACAAAGCCAAAATACAATTGATTAATATCGCACCCTTAATCCAAAGTTCAATATGTCATCTTCATTAGTCTTTTTTGTAGTTCTAAACAAAATCAACATTATAATACTTTCTTCTTGTTCGATAATTCTTTCAGTTGATTTTAATTGAACATTTACAAACTTGTGTCCAGATGGGTGCAAGGGTATTTTTGTCAAGTATTAACAAAATATGATGATACAATTACATATCATTAACATAAACATTCGACAAATTATTTTTGTCTCACCTTTGACATGATCTTCAATGCATTAAAATATTTTGTTCAAATAACGACGATGTTGTCCCATGGTGACTTCATTTTTAGGCATAAAAGAGAAGTCTCTGAGAATATTCAAAGCAGAAAAAATATGTTATTGGTTTATAATATATATTAAATCAATTAATAAACAACAAAAAACTAACAAAAACTCAATAACCGAAAAACCCCAATAAAAAGATGTAGACCAAGAATCCAAGCGAAAATATCAACAAAATGAAGTTTCTTTTTTAAGTTGTAATGCATTTTCTGCACTTAGTTATATACTGACAAAATTTAAAGAACATAAATAGCAAAAAACTAATTTTTCCAATCATTTAAAATATTCAAATATCATATTTAAAATCTACAACTTTCATTATTTGAAGAACATCGTTGTTTTGAGAAGAATTTTAGAAGCAAGGGTACGTTTGGTAATTAATGGATTTAAATTGAAAAGATTTTATGGAGTCATGGACTAAAAGTGTAAGTGTTGGATTCAAATTGAGAATAAATTGTGGAGGAGGGGATTTTTAGTAACTTTTGGAATTATATTGAAAAGAATTTAGGAGCTGGGGTCTAAAGTGTAAATAAAGGAGCAAAATTGAAAAGAAATCGGACTAGAGGGACCAAAGATGTTAATTGATCACAAAGTTGTGTGATTGGGTATTAAACCTGTCACCCTATTCCACCCATGTGTACCCTAACCCTAAATGATGCAGCTGCCAACCTTATGACTCCCTCTCTCTCCGATGTCGCCACCCCTCTTACTCTCACATCTCTGATCATCGAGGTCGCCGCCCACCACCACTCCATGGAACCGCCACCATCAAGACTCGCTGCCGGCAACGGCGTGAGTCAATGAGAGTTCCACCAAATACCGGGAAGAACCACTGCGTCGTCATCGTGTGAGTCGTACGCCGCCGTGTGAAGCACCAACGTTGTAGTCGCTATTGTCGTGTCAAGTGAATGTCGCTATCGCGATGCTTACTGCCGAAGATGCCTGAGTCCATTGCTGCTGTTTGCTATCGGCGATTTCCGGAGACGAGGCTGATGTCGGAGCTGTCGTACCTCTATCTTCTCCGGTGGGTTTGGGTTCACTTTCAGAATAAGACTTGATGGCGTGGGTGTTTGCTGGTGAGGAGTCTCAGACCAACATGGGCGGCTGTCAAAAGCCATGACCACCATCTTGCCACTGTTGTTGCTGATGGATGCCAGGTTGCTGCTGCTACCGGATCACCGTGAGCCACCAGGTGGGTGGCTGGGTCCTTAGTGCAAATTAATGAGAAACGTGTGTAGGCTATATTTTTATATTTAGTGTGCGATGTGTGTGTTTTGTTTAGCCAGATTCCTCGGGAAAAACCACCACCACCACCACCACCGTGAGGTGGTGGCTGCCGCCAAGCACCACCGCTGGCCACCATGGTGTGGCTGTGTGTGTTAGTGTGTGTGTGGTTATGTTTGGATTAAACATTGTAATTGTAATTAGCTTTGGTTAATAATAATAAAAAGTAATAATAACCACCATCGTAAGGTGGTGGCCGCCGCCGTGAGCCGCCATCGACCACCACTACC